TGCAGTCTATTGTAAGATTGTTATTGAAAAGAGATTTTTTTTAATTTTTTCTCAAAAGTTCAAACTAATTTATATTAAACGATGGATTTTATGTGCTTGAAAGTGCGCTTTCTTAAAGCTCAAGCTGCTCCACTGTTGCTATGCCACTGAACATTTGCTGGATAGAATCAGTTGTTAGTAATCATCTGTATTGGAAACTAACCCTGAAATGCTGGATCACTTCCATCAACATCTTGAGATTCTGTACGTTCTTCTGCGGTTGTCATCTGCGCAGCCAGCAAGATGGCAAACATAATGACCACTACTGAACTGAACTTCATTTTCCGCCTGTGCTGTCAATCAGTTAAAAAATTATTTGGTAGAATTAAATAATTTTAAGAAAAATTGTATATATTTCGTCGATTGAAAAACAAATATTGCTAACTAATTTATCTTAATTTCAATTAATTCACCGTAAATTGCACAACGTATTTTCTTTTCAACAAATAATTATTATTCGCATTTTGCCTTCTGATTGAAGCCCTTTATATAGTCTTTTTAGATCCAGATCACATGTAGCTAGTAAGTATTATGTACGCATTTATAAGGCGCAATATTAAAAACGCAAACACTACATCACACACACACGTATTTACAGATACTCAGGTAAAAAAATTTAAATATATATTTTTTTATGAATTTAAGTTTATAAAAAATATATTTGCTTAAACCTTTTTAAAAAATAATTATTTAATAAAAATAATTTAAAAAAAAATTAATTTTTTTAAATAAACTATTCACATCAAAATTAATCTGCATGTCATCATAGCATTGTAGTATTTAAATTTGAAGAGATTATTTTTTTACGAATCATAAACACATGGTGTCATAATTAAATAGTAATCACCTTCATAACAATATTCATCATAACCATCACCGTCAAGCGGACAAGTGGAATTTTGTGTCAACATGAGTACCAACCTAAGGCAGAGCTCTCACCGCTCCAATTCAAAAATTCATCTATTGTCCATCTTCAAGGTTGAAACTTGGAGCCCCATGAAAAATTCTTCTCAAGCAAAATCACTAAATTTTTCATTTAGTGCTTTATAATGAACAAATGAACAAATAGTAAATGTTTATATGTTGAAACAACAAAATGACCTTGATTGTGAGAGAGTAAGGTCATATAATATTAAACATAATTACCTCGATAAACAACTAAGAAGTGTTTTTGTGTTTGAGCAAATAACGTTCATTAGATTGCAAAAAATTGTTTAGGAAAAGCTGCAGAGCCTTCATATGATGTATATTTCATATTTTAAAATTTCCAACTCCATGAATCCATCCCTGCCTACCGTCTGTACAAAATCTCTCCAGATGGATGTCGATGACGACGAAACATTTGGAAATAATTAAAAACCCTATTTGACGTGCTGGATTAAGAAAAATTTTCTACAAAAACAATCAATGCTGTTATCATATGTTTGATATGTTTTGAGGATCTTGTCTGTAGACTCAGATCATGTTTCTCGCCAATTAATGAGTGGATGATGGCAAATAGGCTTAAAATGAAGAATGTTTTTAATACATTTATTGAGATTTGATTGACGTTAAAATAAATTCAAAAATAATGAAATTTTTAACCAACCTCCTGAGTAATTAATTCATACAATTGATTATAAAAGCCATATTAATTGTTATTTATTTAAATAGTTGTAAAATATACTAAATTATTAAAATAAATCTGAAAAATATTTACCAAATACATTGTATATTCAAAAGGTTGAATTAATTTTAATTAATTAATATTTGATCTTCTACTGGTATTAACAATACGTTACCATCCATTCATGCCAGGGGTGGGAGAACATTTTGCTGCGAGTGCCGTATTGACAACTATTTTACCTTTGAGGTGTCACATATGTACTTAAATAGCAGATTTTTTCGACCCAGGTTAACTTTTTTAAAACTTTTGGCTCCTTTTTTTGATCATAACGTCCGGCTGACCAATTTTTTTTACGAAAAGTCCTCGCGGGCCGCACCGCATAAAATAGCTTTGCCAGCCGCATGCGGTCCCCAGGCCGAAGTTTGCCCAACCCTGGTTTATGCCATTTGTTTTTTTTTATTTTTTGGTTTATCTTAAACTTTTAATCTTAAAAAAGTCACATCAGATTTTTAAAGATAATTCTTTTTTTTCAATTTTATTTTCCGCTGAGTAAATTATGTTAATTTTTGTTTGTATTTTGGGGTATAATTATTTTTTTATATAATTAATAATTTTCATTGCCTTATATAATGATTTAAAAATTAAATAAACTAGTTCAAAGATAAAACAAATTCATAAATGCAACACATTAATATCACTCAATTACATCAGTCTAAAAATGTAGTTTCTGCTAGCTCTAATCTCAAAATCTAAAGAACTTTACTTGAAAAGTTGCAAAACCGATGTTAAATCACAATCCATTTGGCAAAAGTGCTTACGACTGCTCAAATCCAAAAAACCAATAGATGAGCAAACTGTTTCATTTGCTGGAAATTCTCCTGCCAAACAACATCAGTGGGGAAAGTTTCATTGCATTGCTGTTGGATGGTATTTTTCTAGATCTTACACTTTTTTCAGGATGTAATAGTCCCCTTTGAGTTAAATAAAGTTTTGCACAAGTGGAGTAAATTTAGTTTATTTGTCATAATTATAAAACAACTTTACACAAATACATTTTGAGTGATTTTTAGAAATTTGAGTTACTGGCCACCTTTTGGCCTTTGATTTGTGATACGCAGGTGCGGTCAGGAAAAATAACATTAAAGAATCTTGCGAAACTGGGCTAGAGTGGTAGAAAGATACATTAATTTTTTACTTTGATTTTTGATGGTGTTTGAAGATGTTGAGTTAACCAATGATGTTTAAATATTTATTCTCAAACGCTGAGTGTCGCTGATATATATGTAATTTTTTGATGTTCAGCTTGAAATAGAAATATAGAACGATCATTCTTGCTTTTATGTGATAACTTTCGTTCAAAACTTTTTAAAATTAAGTCATTGTTACACTAAAAATGAACTTTTAGATGTGAGCTCTGCCTTTGATTGTGTTGATATTCATTTAATGGATTGATTCATAGCTTTCTGGTCGAACACAACAAATTCTGTTCAAATCTAACTTGATACGAAACTGTCATACGATGTTCAAGAGGGGTCAGTTTTCGGCCCCCTCCTATTTGTGTTTTACACTTCAGATGGTTTCAAAATCAATGACAGATATAATTTCAAACATCAGTCTTGCGTATGATATTCAGATCATTGCTAGTGGCCCCTATTGTCGTTTTGAGGATCTTGTCTGTAGACTCAGATCATGTTTCTCCCCAATTAATGAGTGGATGATGGCAAATAGGCTTAAAATGAATCAATCAAAAACTCAGTTTCTACCGGTTGGCACTAGGCAGCAATTGATAAAAAATAAACACTGAGTTTATCAGACTTGGTGATTCTGACATTGAATTTTGCACATCTACACGCAACCTGGGATTTGGCTGGAAGGTTTTGACAAGGGGCCTTCGTAATCCTGCGTTGTCTGTTATTCAATTTCGTAAAAATTTGAAACACCTTCTTTTTGTCCAAGCTTACCCGTGCTGATGGTTTTTCTCTCCATTCATTGCATTGCCACTTAGTAAAGTGCTATGTAATGTACTGCAATAATCGTTAGCGCCTCTGAGATCTTTTTAAAGGGCGCTTATAAACACACCAATAATAATAATTATAGTAGTGTGCGTGTTGTCTGCGTGTAAACTTAACAAATTGCAGACATAATATTTTTCAACTTAATAAATAGATGCTTTCAATTTTTTATGGCCTCATTATTATTAAACTTCTTAAAAACGTGTCTTTTGTGTTTGTTTTCTGATACATTCAATGAAAAAATAACCGAAGATGATTTATTTATAACTTATATGTGAATTAAATAACAAAATTACTAAACTAAAAAAAATAGAATTTCTTTTCATGAATAAAACCCATCATATCAGCAGACAAAAGTTACGTAAAGCCAAACGTTTATTTGTTGGAAGATACAATTAATCATGATACAATCTGTGTGTGTAGGTAAGAAGAAATTAGTAATGTTTTGAAAATTTTTAATTTGAAATCTGCAGAACAATTTCTCAAAACAAGTAAATAAAATTAAATTAACAATGATTGGATTAATGGATGGACGGACAGATGGATTGATGAATATTATAGTTAATAGAATTGTTGGATGAATGGATGGATGAATGGATGGATGGATGGATGGATGGATGGATTGTAGAAACGGACGGGTATATCGAACAGCAAAATAAAATTAAGAAATTTAAATCAAGCATATCAAAATTTTAAAATAATTACAAAATATATTAGTTTTATAAATTTGACAAATGAATGGTATTAGTAGGTATGGTATGAACATAAAAAATATTGATGAATATTATTTAAAAAGTTAGTGTAAAAAAATCAAATCAAAAATACAAATAAAACAGAAAATATTTTTTCAATCAAAATAGATTGTATATTTATAATGTTCAGTTTACTAAATTTCACTACAAAATCTAATAAGCATCGTTAAAACAGAGTTAACAACTTTATCAGTGTTATTCCAATATTAGCGGGTAATATCACAACTTCATTAAGCAAAGAATAAATAACATAAATAAAAAAATTAGAGAAAATTATCATGAATCGAAATTTTGTGACACTTATTGCCGTTGAAATACAGTTTAAACATTTTTTTTATAATACATTAAAACGAAAAAAGTTTATTCTATGCTTAATACTATTATTATAGTTTTTCTTATATAGAAACCCAAATATGCTGAAAATTAGTTTAATAAAAGCATATAAAATAACCAAAATTATTTAATTATCTTTTTTGAAAATGGATTTTTTAGTAAATTAACGTTATTTAATATTTAAATTATTCAAAGCTCTCACTATACTGCTTTATACTTCAGCTGCAAAATGTTTCATAAAATTTTAGTCGATAATTTTTATTTTTTCTCATCTGCAAGATGTCGCAGCATTTCACTGACTTCTAGAATCTGTTTATTGTTCAGTTTTAGTTTAGAAGCGCTGATGTTTTTGTACTCATCACTGTTGTTATTTATAACATCAATCGTATTGCTGTTGTCACTTTTGTCGTTGATGTAATGTGAAGTTGCAACGTTAGTGTTGTTGTTGCTGTTGCTGTTGTTACAGTTGATGAATTTTTTAAACATTTGTTGCAAATAATTTTTTCGAAGTGCCGAAAAAGTCATATCGATGAAAATTGTACGTATCAGTTTAACCTGAGTCAATTTGTACTGTTGCGGTTGTTGCTGGTCTGTTTGTTGTTGGTCTGCTGGTTGTTTATCCGATTGCTGCTGTTGTTGATGCAGTCCTGAGAAGATGTTCAATTCTGACTCTACTTTCTTATCGTCATTAAATGGACAACCTTTACACGATCTCCTCCCGGCGACCGTCTCGCAGCAAACAACGTTGCTGATTTCAATGCATTTATTGGTATCATCGAGGTACATTTCGACATTCTCCGTCGTTGCAGTCCCAAGCTCTGGCGTCGTTGTTCTGTATAATACTTTGTTGTTGTAGATCCTGTTAGAGTTGAGGGTACTATCTTCTTCATTTTTAGCAAGACCGTTAACTGTCGAAGCATTACTATCGTTAACATTAACAGCTAGATTGCCAGATTTGGCAGGGTCATAGTCATCTCGAACCACTACGATGTCAAAAATGTTGTGCTCAACTTTCGTAATCTGCCTCACACCATCCAAACATATTTCATCATCGCTGAGTGAGACCTCATTAATTATTGTTGATGAACTTGGTGGTGAGGATGTTATGAATGTTGATGTTGTTTTCATTTTAGTTGTAGCTTTAACAGTTGCTTCAGCAACAATTGCTGCAACTGCTGCTGCAGCTGATTTAGTTGCTGAAATTGATGGCTGAGTTGTTGTGGGTGGTTGCATGTTCAATTCCTGGTTACGGAAGGCTTCGGCTGGTTTGGTGGAAAAAAATTACTGTTAATCAGTAATATTTGCATTTAATGAATTATATTTCAATATGAATTCAAATACTTCAAGTACAAAATTTAAAAAAATGTTCAAACAAAATGTTTTACTTCAAAAATTTATTAAGTATAATTGCGACAGCAAAAGATTTTTAAAAAGCTGCAACATAATCAAAATGAACAACTACAGAAACGACAACATCAATCTTATAACCAACGAACAGCCTCAGAATGAATTACTAACCAACAATTGCTGCCTTTGAGACAAGTTTCTGTCGCTTGCTGGTTATCAAACTTGATCGGGCAACACGAGTCGTTGCCGTTGAAGTTGTTGTTGTTGCTGGTGTTGTTGTTGAAGTTAATGTTGTTTCCGTTATTGTTTCAGAAAGTTGTGTTGATGACCTTGCTGGTGTTGATGTTGTTGCAGGTGTTATTGTTGTTGTTGCTGCAGTTGTTGTTATTGTTGCAGCTGTTGTTAATGAAATTGTTGATGTGGTTGGCTTTGTTAATGATGATGTTGTCTGGAATGAAAATGTTGTTGCAGATGTTAGAGACGCTAAAAATGAAGGCCTTCCACCTGCTGTTGTTGGCGATGGTGATAAATTCACTGCCGTTGGTGATGAAAGCGATGTTGATGTAGTGGTTGTTAATGTTTTCAATCTTGTTGATGCATTTGTAGATATGAATGCATCAGTAAGTGAAGATGATGACTTTTCAAGATCTGAAGTCTTTGAATCGTTGTGTGATAGATCTGGCAATAACATGTTTGTTGATGTTGCTTTACCTGCTGGCATAAATGTTGATGTAGTAGTGTTTATTGGTGCTGACGTTGTTGTTGTAGGCACACTTCGAGACGTTTTCATTGATGTCTTTAATGTCAGGCATTCCAGAGTTGATGTAGTTGTTGTAAATGTTGAGAATGCATCTGTATTTAATGTTTGCTTTGGTGATGAAATGCAAGTTGAAGGAAGGTTTGTTAATAAATCAGAAGGAGTTGTTGACAGATTGTTGGATGAATTATTTGATTTTAATGTATTTGAAGCTGCTGTCATCATTATCGTTACGTTAGTTAATAATTCTGATTTTGTTGTTACATTAGCTAATAATGTTGTTGTTGTTGTTGTTTCTGAAATTGCGTTATCTGTAGAATCGTGATTGCCAATATTCGTTTTGGAGTATGTTTTGTTGTTGTTAACGTCATCGTGATGTTGGCTGTTATTAATATTGTTGTTGCAATCATGAAGGTTGATGTTATTGTTGATGTCATTATCAATGTTGGAATTCTTTAGGCTGATGTATTTTGTGCTTTTGTAGTTGGTGAATAGTTGAGGGCCGAATTTTTTAGCCAACCGTGAAACATTAATTGAGGATTTGTCGTCTGCGTTTTTACGATTGTTTGTGTTGTTGTTGTTTATGTTGTGGATGTTGTTGCTTATTTTGTTGTTGTTTGTAAGGCAGTTGTTATTGCTTAAATATACGCTGTTTTCATTGTTTATGTTATTAATGTTAAGTGAATTGATGTAATTTAAGTTAATATTATTATTGTTTATTGTACTGTGATCCTTGTTGTAATTGTTAGAAATTATGCAATCATTAATTTCGGCAACAATTTTGTTGTTTGTATTATTAGTTTTGTTTTTGATGTTGTTGTTGTTTTTTTGCAATGGCACGTAAGTATATGAATCATCGTTATTTCTGTTTGTATCATTGAAGAGTTTGCTAGCAATTTTTGGATCAGTAAGGTAATGGTAACTATTATACTTGCTGCTACTGTTGCTGTATTTGCTTCCGCAATTGATGTTGGTGATACTGATGTCTTTGCTGTTGTAATTGCTGTTGTCTTCGTCATCGTTATCACTAACATATCCTGGATTAACTTTAACCTGTCGGTAGGTGCCGTAAAATAAATTACCTTCGTCACCTGGACTGTTGACGTCATTTCCGGTGTTGTTGATGTCATTTTTGTTGTTGATGTTGTTGTTTTTGTTGTTGAT